GATACCATTGAGCTTGTCCTGAGATTTCTGGGCGGTATATGCTCTCCACGTAACAAACGACGACGTTGTCCCACCGGCCCTGTCGGTCTTCCCACTTTGCCAGCATGCATGCAGACATAAAAAGGGCACGAAAGTGTTTTTGTTTTAATGTGAAAGCATTAACTGTCCCACGGAGCGAACCGACGTTATTAGCTATTGAAGCCGCCCCAAACGGCATCTAAACTCCCCTGCCCCGATGGAGCGAAGCCTGTCGTCTGTAGCGGCGATCTGATGGATAGGCTCCCATTGGCTGGCGTGCGTCATAGTATCAAGGAACGAGGCTAACATTGGCTCTCGCGCGGCGTAGTTCCAAGGAATGCCACCAGAGAAGCCCTCTCCATGGCGGCCCAGCGGCCCGGCTGCCGGTAAGAACGAGCGGTTGGCCGCCAAGCCAGCAGAGTCCGCACGCAGCCCGCACGGGCAGATCCCGGAGTGGCTGCATGGCCGAGCTCAGCGCGGCGCGGCCACTTCGCGAGAGCGCGCGCTCGGCTTTCGGCTGCAACCTCGGCATTAGCGAAACGTGGACATCCACGCCACTACGCCGCAGACGAACTAAGGGAGCGGAAGAACGACATTCATTCTTTCGCATTCACAACTCATAAAAAGGGCATAGGTGTCCTCGGATTCTTTTTTTTTTTTCTAACTTGTGTTTTTTTTTTTTTTTTTACACTTTTATCCGCTAATGCCGCAATCTTATTGTCTTCGGGGCGATAATAAAATGCTGCGATCTTGCCACACCCTGTGTTTCTTAAGCTGTCAGTGGCAATAAGCACGATTTTCCTGCAATACCGACACAGGGAAGTTTGCCTTCGCTTCACATGACGCACATTGAATATTGCCATGGTTCGAGAAAGAGAAAGAGGGGGAGAGAGATAGAGATATGCGGGGAGAAAAAAAGAAAAAGAAAACGTCGATGACTTTTATTTGCTTTTTTTGTCATCTACTACCCGAAGGAAAAATCCATCAATGTAACCCTGTTTGGCAGTCAATGTTTTCTAGTGGACCGCTGACTGTGCCTGACTGTACGTCAAACATGTCTGATTGGCCAACAAGTTACTCTGACCGACAGTCAAACTCCAGTCAGACTCCACTTGTCGGCTTTCTGATGGTTTCCTGGTGGCAGTCGGCCGCCGCGAAATTCCATCAAGATGTCTTGGTGGAGATTTTGATTGTACATCGATTGGCTCTGACTGTACGTCAAAAAGCTTTGACGTGCAGACAGACGTACGGTCAAAGGACGTAAAGTTCGTTCGGATACCACTATTTCGTCAAATCTATGAATACGAAAAATAATCTATGCACAAGAAAACGATTTCGGGACGTGAGCCCACAAAACCGCTGATGTTAGAGATATGACACGCAGCCGACCGACAACCTTGATCAGAAGCCCGCCGAAACGCCGAAAACGCCACTTCGCTTCGCCCATAGAGGCTTCGCCGAGCTTTCATGAACGATCGCTCTCGACTCGTTTTGTTTGCCCGCTTGCTCCAACCTGTCGATCCTGCCCGGGCTCTACAGTGTTTTATGTTTTAGTAGAATTTCTACTCTAGAAGACCCAGCCTGTTGTGAGTTCCGACGATGTAAGGAACTTTAGCGGTGTGGTTGAAGACGACAAGGTGTACCATGGTCTACTGGGCCGGAGACGCGCGAACAAAAGGATCGTTCTACCATCAAGGCTGCTGACTGGCAGTCAGTGTCCCAAATTACGTACCTTGATGGAATTTTCAATAGGGTAGTTGGCTTCGGATTGGATGGTGATGGCTAAGCGATGAATTAAGGGCAGCTCTGACTGGTTATTTCAGTTAAAACAGTACAAAAATTAAGTTATTAACTTCTTCAGTGATTAGAATTGTTTTCTTTTTTTTTTTAAATTGCCACTGTTTATAAAATAAATTAACCCTTTGCATAAAATAAATTATCTCCAAACCTAGACATGCTTGTATCAAGGTCTGGCCACAATGTCCACAAACTCGAAGCGGTCGATCTGGTGAAAAGTTCGAAGGTTCGTCGAACCCCGAAAGTTCGACCTAAAAATCCGGTTCGACAAACGTATGTCAGATCCCCCACCTCATCTCGGAGCACGTGCAGTGCAAGCTGGATGGACGAATGTTCATAGGCGTAGACTACGGGGGGGGGGGGGGGGGGCGGGGGCAACGGGGCTCGTGCCTTCCCCCCCCCCCCCCCCACCTGCAGAGATCCGGGGGGGAGGCAGAGTGAGCCCCCCCCCCCCCCCCCCCGGGCCACGATCCTTTTATGCCATGTAACGCGCTTCTAGTAGTGGCATGTAAACAAAATAACGCCCACGTTGCCCTCATCGACAAAATACGTGGGAAATGGAATCCCAGCGCGCTTTCGTTAGTTTCAATCTCCAGTTCTGGCTAGAAGGTAAATAATGTACCCCCTAAAATAAACTACTGATAATTGCCGGTGTAAAAAAAGATTGCGCAAAAAAGCACCCCCCCCCCCCCCCCCCCCGGAAGAACTTCTCAGCCTGCCTCCCCCCCCGGGAAAATGGAAAGTCTACGCCGCTGCGGATGTTCATGGGTAACGGGCGGTAGCTTGCGCCACCTAGCCTAAGTCTATAAAGACAAACATATGATTCCTCCCGCTCCTAATTTTCTCTTCCTAACTATCACCAGGCAGTGTGGGATATCACCAGAATAACCTTTAACGGATCGGGCGGAAAAAAAACAAAAAAAACATTACGTCCCGTTTTTTTTCCCCGGCGAGGGGGTCGGCAATTTTCCTCTGGTCAAACCTTGTCGGCGTTACCCCCGCACCGGACCCACTGGGAGACAGGTTGAAACTCTGGGCCGGGGCCACGCTGGAGGGAGTCCTGATTTTCCTCTGTCCCGCCTGTCCTAAGCTGCGCTAATTAGTTGTGCATCACTTAATTTTTCCTAGATAATTTCCGCCAATCTTCTTATCGCCTCTTTGTGACTGTAATCCTTTTCTCTTCCGTCCTTCCATCGTCGCCAGCAAAACCCAGGGCCCCGTTCAAATCTGCGAAACCTCGTGCACTTCAATACCAAATGTTCTACTGACTCGCTCTCATTGTGGCAGGCTGCATATAATGTGTCTGTCTCCTAAAATTTAGCCCTATACGTTCTCGTCCTCGAAACTCCCGTTCTCGCCTCAAACAGTAAAGAACTTCCCAGTGAATTGCCAATCACATTTTTATTTCTTATGCCCCCTTTTTTTTTTTTTTTTTTTGAGAACTTGTACATTGTTAGAGCTGACTTTTTCTGCATTCTTTCCTCCCACATTTTCTTTTCTGCCTCTTTCACTCCCTTTTTCACTCAAGTAGTCTGCTCAGCCCCATCACTAGAGTGTAGGTATTTAAATGTAAGCTTTCGGGTTCGGTTTGTCCATCTTGTGTTTAAACTTTTTATGTATCATCGTATCATGCATTTCGGTAAGCCTTTGTTCAAATTTCAAGTTACTATTTCAATTGCCACCCTGCTCTCAAAAGAGGACCATCCCATGCCTGCCTGTACTCCCTCCTTTGGTGCCTTCCTATTTGCTCCCAGTGCCAATCTGCCCACGCTTCTTTGTCGAATTTCTAATCTTGATTGAACCTCTCATTTCATGCACAGTAAATGAAATCAGAGGTTCAATGAGAGAAGACAGTCCTGGTACCACCACTCCTTCCCATAAGTTCCATAGTGCCTTGAGCTTCATAATATATTACTTACTTTTCCATTTTCTAGTTATATTCTTCTCATGCATGTTTCTCTAGATATTTCCTTCCCTCATTGAGCCAGACTCCCAGATATTTGTATCTTCCTACATGGCCTATTACTATGTCTTGTATTCTCAAGGGTTCCCTCTTTTCGTCGTTAAACACAATTACTTCAGACTTGTCCCTACTAAACCTCATGCCCAAGGTGTCCCCTTCCTCTCCACATATTCCAGCTAGTTCCTGTAATGTATCCTGGTTATCTGATATGAGTACTATGTCGTCCGCATACATCGGTCCTGGTATTACCTGTATTACGTTTCTCCCTCCTTCTATATAACTCATAGAAAAACCTAAGTTGCTCTGCTCTGATTTCTTTTCCATTTCACTGAGGTATATCATGAAGAGCAGAGGTGACAGTAGACAATCCGGCCTGAGTCTTCTTTTTATGGCTGCGGGTTGTGTAGTTTCTGCTTCCCATGTTATAACAACCTTAATGTCTGTGTACACCTGCTGAAGAAACCTAACCAGATTTGCACCTAAATTATACTCTTTTAGCTAACCCCAGAGTTTTTTTCTGGCTCACGCTGCCGAACCCAGGGTTGCTGGGCTCAATCCCCCTCACCGGTTCGTTTCGATTTGGATGAAAATCGTACGGGCGTACGGTTGTGTATCACCACTGCGTGGTGCACGTTAAAGTCCCCGGGCTAGCAGTTGTACTGCACTGGCCAAATTTCTCATCTACTACACAGCTGAGACACCAGATGCCCATTGACGCTGACTAACTTCCGGATGTATAAACATGCAAAATTAGTATTCCTATTCAGCAGGAGGAGAACGAACTGTGTAATACTGTGTATATTCGCAGTGCAGTCGCAGTGACAGCTGTGACAAGTCTTATCGGACCCTATTGTATACTTATGTATTTTGTGCATTAGGTGGGGCAACTATCACCCATGTCTGCTCGGAGAGTAACATACTGATTTTCTTTTAGTTAAAAGCCCTCTAACGGACGCGATGTGAGACTCAGGTGGCGTGATGCGACGTCACCGCAACTGCGGCCACCTAGCGGGCTCTGCACGAGGTTCATATGTGCAGCTGTCCTCAACACATACGGTTTATTAGGTGGCGCATCGGTAACGCTGGCGCAGCTCCTCGGGTTTCGGAAACTTTCTTCTTGAAGCATTTGGCAATACCGACGACGTCCACAAAAAACTACATCCCGTGGGGTGGGGGAAGAGGCCATAACAGCTATCACGTTGTAAAAGAAAACGCCACTTACGCTTTGTTTTTGCAGATGCAGCTCCCTCTTGGACAGCCAACGTGCAGAATCCAACCAGAAGAACAAAAGTACGAGGATCCACGTAACCCCTGAACAGACTCATCCTGGCCGATCAACCGTCCAAGCGGATCCTCAGGGTTTCGAAATCGAGGGTCTCTCTTTCCTCTCGTTCAGCCTTAGTTCAGAGACGCTGACATCGACTGGCTCTGTCTCCGAACTTGGCCAGCATCCGCATAGATTTCCCGATCTACGACGAAGCTCGTCGTGTTTTCACACCGCTTCCTAGACCGTGGCGCCAAGGACCTCAAACGCAGCTTCTGTTCTCACGACCCCTGACCGCATAGTCAATAGCCGATACGCGAAGGCCTTCGCCATCTCTGATCACCCGATAGGGACCGCAATGATTGGCTGCGCCACGCCGGCCTGTGATGCGTTTGTGCAAAGCGTGTTGATCCCATAAAAGCCGCGTGAAAAGAACGCGTGAGTAATGGTAGGTAAACATTCCCAGATAGCGACCACTATAATCTCTCGCGCGCGCATGAGAGGTATCTCAACCTTGATGCGAGACGTACTTGCGAACAGGCGTTGCACTCTCCTCTTTGAAGACCATCGAATGCACGCAACCCGTGGATTCCTGGAAGCCATTTTGAGCTATTTTGAATCAGACGACTGTGTGCTCGAGCCGAGTGTTTTCGTGCCTCGATAGTATTGCACTGAATCCGGAGATTCGCGGGCACTGAGTGGCGAGCGGCCGATATTGCCCGCGCGCACACTTGGGAAGTAATCCGCTACAAGATACGGGTTACTTGTAAACCGTTACATTTTCAAGTAATTTTGTAATTGCCAGGCTACTTTTTTTGCGGCAGTAATTTGTAATGTAATTTTTTTACAATATTTGTAACAGATTACTTTAATTACTCGTTACTTTTTAATGAAAATAATATACAAAACTTGGAGCATAATGAGCAGGCAATTCAGCAGAATAAAGATAGCAAGTCCAACAAAATAAAAAACACCTTCAAGAGGAAAATAAACGATAAGAAAACACGACATTTTTTAACGATCGGTCACCTGAAAGCATGAAAGGCCCGTTTCAAAGGGAAGCTTTTGTAGATCAGTTCCTTACCTTCGAATCTTTTAACGGAGGTGGACGCTGCCACTGAGCATGTGCACCGCTAACATTGTCTGCATAATTCCAGAGATCATTTTCGAACGCCGTAAGATAACCTGATGACAGGTGTGGTCGCAGCGTCCGCTGCCTTGCCAGCTTACAGGTGAACGTAGTGCACCTACACACTTTCTCTTAAGCACAATTTTTTTTTTTACAATGACTGTCATAATGTATGAGAAATTGAAAGTGGTGTTGCGGAACATTTCTGAAAACGTCAAAATTGTCTTCATCGTTTTCTTGGTAAGTGTACGGGAAAAGTGAAAGTAATTCGTAACGTCACGAGCAAAGTAATCCGTCGCTTTTCAGCGGAAGAAAATTGTAACGGTAACTCATTACATTTGAGGCTCGGTAACTTGTATTACATTTTTCTTTTTCGAGTAACGGGCACAAATCTGCATGCACGTAACCAAAATTCGGGCAAGAGAAAAAAAAAATTAAAGATGTTTCAGGCTTTGTCCGAATTTCTTGTCTTCTGAAAAGCTAAGCTGACGCCTCCCAAACATGACACTCTAAAAACCTGTGACGAGGAAAATAAAAAATAAAAAGAAATGTGAGCCATTTCACTTCGTGAAGATGGTTGGCCAGCGAAGCTGTAGAGCACCGCAACACATGATTCACCAAGAGAAACACGAAAGCACTTCACCAAATGTTTATTTACAGTATATATACATCATTTTGAAACAATAGGGATGATTGCTTTGTGATCACTATCATATACACTAATAGGTTCCATTACAACTTTGGTGAGATTCTTTACTAAAGCTAAATCTATACATGACCGATGGCGAGTAGTTGAGTGACTTGGATGGGTGCAGCACTTCAAACCAAACTCTTCTACTACAAATTGAGTGAACCATTTCTTGTCTGGTTTTGTTGGCCAGACAAGATATGCAAAGCAGTGACGTCACCCGACTCGAGCGGGAGAAGGACCATTGTTCTCGGATGTATCTCCATTATCACACGTTTCAGCGTATTCCCTAATCAAAATGCATACCCAGGTGACGGGGCGTATGCGCCTTCCTATACAAAGGAGTGTTTTTACATGAAATTTTTTACTTTTTTTATTTTTGCACACGGATATCAAAAATGCCTGTAACCCTAGTCATATACAGATTCGCTGTAAAATAATGAACAACAGAACAGAACATTACCTCTGGAGTTGGGGTTGAGACGTTTTGGCTGAGCGCCGTTTACACCCACCGGAATAGTGGGTACACTCTAAAAAAAAGTCTGTGCGTCTACTTTCACGCACAACACTCGGAGAACCAATCAGCGCAACCTACTGAGGCAGCTCAGCAAATGACAATGCCGAAACATCTGTTTAGACCAAAAAACGCAGACTGAGTTGTGACATTAAGCAATGCAAGCGTGGCGTTCTGCATTGCTTAATATCACAACTCGGACTGCGTTTTTTGGTATAAACATGTGTTTCCGCATCGTCATTCGCTGAGCTGCCTCCGTAAGTTGCGCTGATTGGCTCTCCGAGTGTTGTGCGTGAAAGTAGACGCACAGACCTTTTTTTAGAGCAAGCTGCCTTGAGGTCTACCCACTATTCTTCCAATCGAGCCAATTAGAGATCGGCGTTCTGACGTCGCCTCAAACCCTGCAAAAAAAGCAGATGAACTTTCGCTCCGCATATACACCCTTTTACACACCAATTTCGACCGCGGCCAACGTCACGACCCTAGGGAGTCTATCAAGCAGCAGAAAAATTTTCTTCTTCACAGCGTTCGTCGGCTTTATGCGTTTACTTCAGCCGGCTTAATTAGTCATTAGCAGAAAAAAAAAAAAAGAAAAACAGATCACAGCATAATCGGGGTGATTATCGGTTAAGCCAGGGATACCAAACGCACAAAGACTTCGAACGCCGTGACGGTGCACCTTTGACGTTCCCTGATTGGCTATTCATCGAAGTCTGTCCAGAGCGGAAGCTCGTCTGCTTTTTTGCACAGGTGTTGCGATGATGTCGGAACGCCGAGCTCTAATTGGCCGATTGAAAATAAATAGTGGGTACACCTCGAGGCATCTACTAGCATTGAGGTCTACCCATTATCCTTTCAATCAGAGCCAATCACAGCTCGGCGTCTGATGTCACCGCAACTCCTGCAAAAGAAGCAGACGACTTGCTCGCCGCTTAGCTTCGGCTGCGGCCCAACTTGGAGCGAAACGGTGTCACACCCCGTTTGTTCCCGCTGTTTAAACGTACAAACAATCCGCTTACATTTTTTTTTACCGTACACTATTTTTTCTAACCCTAACTTGCATTCCAATTTCAAAGTGCTTGAAAAAATGACGCAGAAAGGCTACTCAGTTCTTTTCTCTTAAGATTTTTTTTTGTTTTTTTTTATAGTTGCTTCTAATGTTTGTGAACAGCATTTGTAACCTGTAAGAAGAGCCAATTTTCTAATAGATAACTGTATGCCTTGCTGTTTTTGTTTTGATTTAGTTTGCTGGAATTGTGTTTACTACATTTTCCAGCTCGAAGAGGATATAGTTTTCGAACCGACCAGCTATGGTCACTGATTGACGGCCTCCAAAACGCGCTCGTTGCCCTCCATCATGCTTTGGCTGCGCGTGCATGCTCGAAGTTGACGAGACGCCAAAGCGTGATCGAAGGTGGGAAGCTGGCGCTGGGGAGTGGGACAACCGAAAGACCATCCTGTCGTTCTCATTCTGTTAGGTTTATAATTTAGATTTTCATTTAATGCGAAAGCATTAACTGTCCCATGGAGCGAAGCCGGCATCGTCTGTAGCCGTTGTATGTAGCCCTTGTCTGTAGCAGCGAAAACGGCACCTGAATTCCCATTGGCCAAAAGCACAGCAACGCAGATGCATCGTCGCTGAAGCCGGTGGGGCGCTCAAGGTCAAAGCGGGCGCGCCTCAGAAATAAAACAAAAAGAAAAGCACAGCAACGCAGATGCTTCGTCAGGGAAGCCGTGGAGCCGGCGGAGCTCGCCGCGCCTGCGCAGTAGGGGGAGCGTGATGTCACCGCCGGAGCGCCGTGGGAAAAAGGAAGACGTGGCGGGCAGCTCGTAGGAGTGCGCTGCGTGTAGGAATGCTTTCACATTCCTACACGTAAGCAGTCTTAAGTGTCTTCGTTTACTTTTGGTTTTACTCTGACCTGCTTCGCAAACTTTTTTTTTCTTATTCTTTCCACTTTAGGCGATTGATTTGGTGTTGGTCGAGTACGCGTGTTCGTCACGTTAACGTTCTCTACCAGGAATAAAAAAAAATAGGCAAAAATACAGTCACGTAGACCTCCCGTCTCTCTTCATTAATCGCACGCTTCTTGTCTTTCCTAATCATCGATGATCTTGATTCTCTCTCTTTCAGGGGCTCTTGATTCCCCCTTCTCTCCCCCTCCTGCCGATTCCAGACGATCGATAAACGAAAATGGGGCCGAATGTGTGTGTTTCCCACTTTCGTCGACTAGACATCACTGGACGGTTATCTCTAATTTATTTCATCGGGTGGTTACTGATACGCTGGGCCTTAGAAACAGGCGTCGGTGGATCGTACGACTCTGTGGCGTGATCCTAACGGGGAGGCATGGCCTTGACACGAGGTCTGGGCCGCGGACCTCCTCCTCCTCCTCCTCCTCCTCACGTTCGCGCACAGGAGGGTGAAAAATGACGACGGTGTGGGACGATCGAACAATTCCTGCAGCCGTAACTCATCTAATCGTCTTCAGATGCCACGCGACGGATAACGGGGATTTCGATTACGATTCGACACCCTCTCGTCCCTTTCCCCTCTCGTCGACATATTTATTAAGAGACGGTTATTGGCAGACCTGATTCGAGGCATCGTGCTCTGAAAGCGACAACCATGAGTGCACCCGTCTTTTTGACTGCGTTGGCGGTTACCCTGGTCGGATGTGGTACGTATGGTGAGCTTCAATCAAGCGGAGATATGAATCCTGTCTGATCTGATCATCCGATGAACGTTTCACGATCCGTATGTGTGATATTTAACGTGGAAAATATGTTACCCAATGGCCGTAGTCACCGACAGCCTAAGAATCGCGGCTCATTATGGTCACACCTCCTGTCTTCTGATTGGTGTAGCTTGATGTTCTTGTCGGCTAATACCGCAATATAATTGGTTGCGATAATAAAATGATCGGGTGTAGCCACGCCACGTGATTTTGGAAAAGTATCAGTGAAGATGTCATAAAGAAATGTTCCACGTAAACACGCAGGTTTCCAGAGGCGATTTCATACGTACATAAATAACAGTTTTTTTTCTTTCATTTTTTTTTTTTTGGGGGGGGGGGGGGGGGCGGGGGCTTGGGGGGGGGGGGGGTGGAACTGTTACGTTTTTTACTATGGAAAGGATTTGAGAGCATCATATTGTAAATTTATAGTTACATTTTGAAGCATGCGTCCAAAAATTTAACTCTTCCCGTATAGGAATTTACCTAGAGGATTTGCGAAATGGTGAGCACACGCGATTTAACATAGAAGTATTGTTTTGTATATGCGTAGTTTCCATAAGGAATGCATCAACGATTTCCTCTATGTAATGGTATCCGTGTACACATTTTGTTATGCTACCTGAAACTAAAAGCTGCCCTAGGGGTGACTGAACGCTCTCAATGCTTACCAAAAAAATGCCAATAATTTGCCGCCAAGCCTTTTTTTACATTTATGTAGCATTGAAACGAAGAACACCCGATGCTCCACACTGAAGAGAAAAAAACAAGTCTCTCAATTTTTTTTGCCACTTCGCACGGATTGTTGTGCTGTTTCAAGGTCAAATGAAAACAAACCTGAAACAAAGCTGTAGACATGGGTGGTATCGTACATAGTTGTTCGCGCTGAAAGGCATTTGGTTAAATTATGGATGAATCATTTATCGTATAAATTAATGCGCTTCTTCAGATTCCTTGCTTTTTTTCGGTAGCAGCGTTTACTCGCTTTTATTACACGGAGAAAACTTTCATTTCTGATAATCCTTTCTCGTGATTCTTCTAAAGACCACAGAGAGCTTAACGCATGTATACGGAGTCTTGTCCGCGCTCCTTGCTTCGCGGTTCCCTCTTCGACCTTCCTGCAGTCTTATTGGTCTCTCAAGTGCCTGACGGGAAGGTAAACGCTCCAGTCTGTTTCGAGAGTTGACCGAGTTTGCGACACAAAATGACGATGTCAGGATCCACTTTAGAGCCTCTTTAAGATACCGGTGACTTTGTGCCTATTTCAAAAGACGTCTAACGACGCCACAGTTCTTTGTTGCGTTCAGTCAGAGGTTGGTCGACAAATGACACTCTGGCTTGGAACTTTCCGCGCAAGGTGCCCTTGAACGACGACTGAAGCTAAAACCTGTAAAAGTGTAAGAAAAAAATACTTTTTTAAGCACTTTCAGCTTCTAGAATCAGTCTAGACGAAATTGATCAAAAGAAGCCCAAACTGTAACCAGCTGATATTCCTGCCCCACCTCTTTCACAAGCTCCCTCCCGACACAATACATATACTGCCTTCTTTTTTTCTTCTTTTTATTAGAGCATCATACCGATTAGAGACTTTACAGCACCTTCCCTTGCGAGTTCTGAATGCGCGCCATATTCCTAGATACCTCCCCCCTTCCCCCTTTTTGGTTCCTTTTTTTCCCAACACAAACATTTACCGTTTAGAAACTGCGGATACAGTTCCTAAAGAGAAATTGCAGGGCCCGCTATGTTTAGCACGCATTCATGAACCCGACCCTGACTAAACTCGAGCTTTCGTATAAGACCCCGATCCGTAGAAACTTGTCCGCGTTCGTTTTAGGTGACAGCGCAACACCCCTCGATACACCGTTCAAACGAGTTTGCTAAAGAGACACGCTGTCTCCAAACAAGTCCGCTTTTGGGCCACACGCGGTGTGGGAATTGCGCATGCGCAGTGTCCGTGACGTCAAAGAGTTGAGTTGCTGAATGGTTGCCGACATCTTAAGGAGCACGGGGCGTGGCCAACTGTTACCTTTAGGCCTCCTGATCGGTTCTTTCGCGTTCGTATTGACTAATGCGGCAATCTGATTAGCCGCGGAGCGACAACATGATGATGATGATGGCTGCCTCGAATGCCCTCTGTTTTTCTTATGCGAGGTCAGAGACTTTAGTTGAACTGTCAACTGAAAAAGAGCCTCGTGGTACACTTTCAGTTCAATAAAATGTTGACTGTCGACAGAACGTTTTCGCGGGTTCGAATATTTAAAAGAAAATACACTCTAAAGAAGTCTGTGCGTTTACTTTCACGCACAACACTCGGAGAGCCAATCAGCGCAACCTACGGAGGCAGCTCAGCGAATGACGATGCCGAAACATTAGTTTAGACAAAAAAAAAAACGCAGTCTGAGTTGTGACATTAAGGAATGCAAAACGTCACGCTTGCATTGCTTAATGTCACAACTCAGTCTGCGTTTTTTGGTCTAAACATATGTTTCGGCATCGTCATTCGCTGAGTTGCCTCCTTAAGTTGCGCTGATTGGCTCTCCGAGTGTTTTGCGTGAAAGCAGACGCACAGACTTTTTTAGAGTGTAGCGCATCCAGCGCAGTGGCGAAAACGAGCGGAAAGAATTAAATTCTGTAGGTTTTTACAACGAGGACAAACTGGAACAATTGTGGTCGGATGCGTCTTGTTCTTTATGATGCCTGGAAGGCGCGTGACACTGAAGTAACTGTGGGCGTCGACTACTCTAGTTTCACATTTCTTTTTTTTCTTCTTCTTTTTTTATTCTACAAGACACCTATCGTATAAGTGAGGAAAATGATCTCATCGGCAAAGTATAAACTCAGGAAAAAAGATGGAGTAATTGTACATCAAAAATAAATACCGAAAGCCACCCGCACAATTTCGAAAAATATAAACGCCGAGAACGCGGTACTTTGCAAACGTGGGTTCTAGGTTTTAATGCGGAAAATCTATTCTAAATATTATGATTCCCAGGCTTGAATCAAGATTTTACCTGAAGTTTCGCAATCCGCAACGGCTCTCATGGGAAATTCTACAGTTTAATCCGCTTATTTCGACATAAAATATTAATTAATAGACGCGCCTCCTTAACGTGCATATGCTGCAAAGCTCATGGAAGTGATTTTTAGTAACTAATAATTTTTTTTAAAACTCAGATCAGCGCAGATTTTGAACTGGAGCATACTGCAGCAACATTCTTGTCGGCATTTTTCCATTTTTCGTTAGTGCCATTGATACTGGATTGTTTGTTTTGAGGTTTCACACAAAAAAAGTGTCAGTGTGAATTTTTAATTGCTAACAAATACACTCATCACATTTCTATTAATAACAATGCAATAACGTGGATCAAAGATTACCTCAGCGAAAGAAAGCAGCATGTTGTACTAAAAGCTTAAAACTTTGAATTCGTAAATGTTAATTCTAGTGTTCCCCGGAGCTCTGTATTAAGTTCTTAGCTCTTCATGAAACATACGAGTTTTCATACCATCGCTGTCGTGCAGTAAAATATGTGGCTATTTGAACACTATCCTCTATAGAGGAAGTTAATTATTTCGACTACATTAATCTTTTTGAGACTGATGTCGACAAAATCTATTTATGGTGTGGCACCAAGAGGACGAACTTAAACGTTAAAAAAGTGCACACGAGATGGACCGGGGAACTTTTTAACGTAGCAGCTTGGGCGAGTTGGTTGCACATGATTGCACACACCACAACGCACTATAGCAAACAACACCCACACCTCACACACGAAAAATAAAGCAAAATTCAAACAAACCGCGCTGACTGACAACTCTTTTTATATAACTTTGTCTTCTTCAACCTCTAGCACCACCGAATTTCCCAAATCACGCGCACCGATCTCCCAGATGCCTAAAAATGTTTTCTCTTTTTCTGTCAGGTGTAAAGATGGTGTACTTATACAGTTGTTATAGTTCCTGGCGATATGTTCTGCTTCGATAATTTCTCGAGCTAATTGGTTTCTGTTCCTACCTAAAATTGTACAGGATGGCAAGTGAACGTCGCACCCACAATCCCGGCAGTGTATGCCTAGATGCACTGAGTTGGCTCTGGAGCTGTTGTTGTTGTGTTCCCGGAGCCTATCATTAAGGCATCGTCCGGTCTGACCAATGTACACTTTACCGTTTGCTTAATTTTTCGTGTGTAAGGTGTGAGTGTTGTTTGCTATAGCGCGCTGTGGTGTGTGTAATCACGGGGAACTTTGTTTACAATCAACGCAGAGAATAATTAAAGAATTCACTCTGGCTCAAACGTAGCAGCTCAGAGCAATACGCACGATTAGTTTTATATCGAACATTTTCGACGGGTCACAAAACCATATTAAGAAAGGTATTTTAAATTTATTTTATGCATCGAAAACCCATTCACTGTACAGCATCCTAATCCTAATGATGGAATGAAATTAATGAGAGTAAGCAGAACCGAGCTGATATATTTTCAGCGCAACGAAAACTCGAGACTGCGAACATGTCGTGTGCATTGGTCGTACAAAAAACAGTTTGCGTGACATCTGTTCGAAGCGTACACACATGTGTTTGAAGTAAAAATGTTTCAAGCATGCTTGAGGCGCGTCCACGTGTAATATTTTTCATCGTGTCTGTAGAAAACATAATGTATTTTGATAATTTACGAGCGACGTGACGGTGGCTCGAGTACTCCACTGGAGGGGTATCAAATGCCTCCGTCGATTTGGCATGGAGAAGCCTAAAAAAAGAAAAGCCATTTACTTTCATTCGCACCGAGAATCGAAGGTTTCGTAGCAATACGAAACGATCGTTAATATAACATTCGCGCGAAATTTGTTTCGCACGCTAGGTGCAAGCGATAACCCGAGGCCAACAGCATTCGTCCGAAAGTTAGGTGATTCTACGTCAAATTGTTTTCCTTTTTTTTTTCTCTCCCGTTCGATTGCGTCTGCGAAATCCGATGAGATCGAGTTGTCGTTTTAATCATTTTGATAGCGGGGACATTTCTCGCTATGCGAAGACTGCCAGCGAGATACTGAAGCATTCCAGCGATAAGTTTTCCCAAGAGGCCTCTTATTGTATCTCGATTGTAATGGACAATAATCGGGCGATATGGCGGCATTAGTAGACACGTGGATTTTTCTTAGGAATGCTCGGAACCAGAGCACGGTCGATATAACGTATATTACGTATATACTGTACCGCTGCTGACTGTTTATAGTCGCACATTCATCGAGCGAAAAGGACATTAAAGCAAATTTCCGTTCTGTATACGAGAGGAATTGACGGTATACCTGCTAAAAGAATCATAGGGTCTTTTAGTAGTTCGTTGTAGGCTGCGGGGTAGCGCGGCTGTGCTTAAAGGCTGACCACCAGACTCGAGATTCTGCAAGGCAGAATATCCTCTTCACCCTGGGGGAGGAGGAAACAGGCAACGGTGGACATTGAAGAAGAGGGGAGAGGTGGAAGCGCGGTGGAAGCGATCTGTCGCAGACTCAAGGGCCGGGAAAAAAAGAAGAGTAATTACAGTCGAAGCAAAACTAAGTGAACAAACCTAAATAAGCACTTAAACGGAAAAATTAAAGTTGGAGTAAGTATTAAAAAAAAACATAGGGTAGATGAAAACGTATACGTCAAATTAAAATTTTATTTATCGAATTATGACATTACACGACACAAGAAAACTCACCAGGCATAAATCAGAAGAATAATGATAATGATAAAACTGAGGACACTAAGTGCAATCCATGTACACGAGAAAAGAATGTAATTTTAACATGGTTACACAGACACGAAGCATATGGGACTAAGAATTGTAACCCTAGTATGACAGTGTTCAATGAATAATATCGCGAGAAGACTCGTGTTACGATGCAGTTTCTCTCGTTCTTTCCGATAGCTTAGAGAGCGTCGCTCCGCAGTTTCTTTAAGCGCGCTTCTTTTTGCGCCGCTAATAGCGTGTCTGATGGCAGGGGGCCGCAGGCCGAGCTTCTGTGCAATGACTGCGGCAAAGCCGCGTGCCGCTTGGAAAGCTTCCCCGGGCTTCTCTTATCAACAATTACGGTTCTCACTTGCCGGGGCATTGTAAACCTTGTGGTTGTCCCCCCATGCTGGGCGGTGCGCAGGGGGAGGGACGCAACAAAGGAAGGTTAGAAAGATAATTGTTGGAGGCGGCCAAAATAGATGATTGCGACAAACACGTTTACATTAGCGTTACATCGGTATATGCAACCCAAAGAGTACAGCTTCATTAACACTATCTATAGCTTGTAAAAATTGACACGGCGCATTTTCCGTTCCTCGTTGGGGTTGCGTGTCGGGGGGATGTAGCTGTTTTGCTGACTTTTTTAACAGGCGATGAGTGCACGTTATATCTACTGATTTGGCGGTACGCCGGTTTTTTTTTTTTTTTTTAGATTAGATTACGGGCGTGCACAGCGATAGCTAAGTTGGAAACGTTCAACGAACTTCAGTTGCCAGTTAGCGCTTGTCCTGCGTTCTTCTTCGCCTTTTTGTCCCGCCTTTTTTGCGCCGTTTTTAACATGAATGTCAATTACCAACTTGCCCAGCAGACCAAGCTTTTACCTTTGACTGCATAGCCACAGAAAGTTGTCGGCGAGCATCTTCCGTAGATCGTTCGCAAGTGCTTTACGTTGGTAGCAGGAGCTAGCGGAACCTTGTGCCATCACGTTGGGCACAGATTGAGCACTCGGCTGCCGGTCCCGCGATCCGCAGCTACGATATATATAAACAAAGTCCCTACTACTTACAGAAGGGTAGAGGAAACCGGCGAAACCTTTTTTTCCTGGCAGAGAAGCTAAAGCTATGGGTACCCGTGCGCTCACGCCCCTTGAGCGCCGATCAGAGCTGTGCACGCGCGATCTTCACTTCTTCCGAAATGCCAGAAAAAGATGTCCCAGAGAGCGGTTAGATAGCTCTATTTGAGCCGTTAGACGATATTGATCTCATATAAAAGGAGGCATAATAGACGTAAGAACATGCAAGCAATAGGTTGTCGTGATCACATGAAGCTGGGGGTAAAGCAACTTGCCAACTGTCCATAAACAACAAAAAACAAAACGACAAAAGCAAAAAAAGATATTGACGCCAAGAAACGAATCAGGGGAAAGCTCGCTCTCTAACGCCCAGGACGATGGCGGCCAAACATCGTAGTTGAGCCAGTGTCTGCTGAATACGTGTTGAGGGCGAACTTTCATGTTGATTCCGTAGCATGCAACGCTCACACGTGACGCCACCGCAGCAGCGTGACGTAGAAGCCGCACGTTCGTTTCTAGATGTACCGTGGACGGTGCACCGTCCGGTGCAAACGAACCCAACAGATGTTTCGGTGACTCCCTGTAAAGCTGTGGTCGCACTACTAATGCATAGTACAAAAGGACAAGCTACAGACACTGCCTGGGGCGTGTTTGTTCTTTGCATGACAACACCGTCACATCGATCATACAAAAAAAAAAAAAAAGAAACGGTCTGCGGGCATCTTCGAAGCACACGAATGTACATGAAGCAACATGCTTCGAAACATGCTTGAGGCTAGCCCGCAGATGATTCTGTCATCATGGTTCCAGCGAACTCCGTGTCGTTTGTATGATGCGTGAGCAGACGACTGCGGCTTTCTAGTCATGCACGTGATCAATGGCGGCCAGTAATATCCCTCCTATGTTTCTTTGTTCGTCTGCAGTCAAGGCCGAGCTCAAGTGTTACGACGAGTTGGGATGCCTGGAAACCGGAGGCGCCTTCTTCGACGAAATCCGACGGCCGTTTATCTTGACGCCCCACGACAGGGACATGATCAAAGTGCAGTACCTCTTGTACACGCGGGACAGGCCCGAGGCAACGATGCTCTGCTGGAACTCCAGCTTGGAGACGGTCCGCGATTCGCCCTTCAACGCCTCTCGGCCCACCAAGTTCATCGTGCACGGCTACTTGGACACCGTCTACTTCGGAGAATGGATGACGGTTGGTGCTTTTTGGAGTGTGTCTTAGGCCCCCTTACAATCTCGGGGGTTCTCTTCAGGGAACTTCTAGGGGAGGGGAGGTGCGGGTGGGACCCTTGTTCTCTACGGAGTGATGTGCGCAAATCATCGCGCCTAGCTGTGTCCTTTGTTAGTGCTGCACTATTCATTGCAGCTTTAAATTTTGTTGTGCGTATAGACTGCGGGAACTTTGTCAGCCTCAATGGACGTCCGATGACTCCGCTGTGAATGGAAAATTTTGCCAGTCCGTGTATCACCACCCGCACGTTACAGCATGGTTATAGTGATACACGACTGCGCTCCGGTATACGATGCTCATCCGTATCGAAATGGGCAGGGGCACGGGTGGAGATTGAACCCAGGGTTCTTGGGCCCTCCAGTGCGAGCTGTCACTCTACGCGTTCCGAGCTGCCACTGATTCTCCCCGAGACAGCTTTTAGGGGCGAAGCTCCGGGGCTAGCCATGTCCTTATGTCCGTCCGATGTCCGGCGTCAGGTGCTCGTGCTTCTGTGCTCGTGTAGAGCAAAAAAAAAAAAAAAAAAAAACGTATCTTCACGTGGTGAATGATGTTGATTGGGGCGAAGCTCTGGTGGTGCTTGTCTGCGTAGATGGTGATCCGCAGCATGCCGAGCTTTTCGTTCGTTTTCATCCATGTCAGAAAGAGAATGTGTGGTATGGAACGTGGTTATATACGCATTTGAGCATTTGACCGCAGCGTGACAGTGAATGAAAACGAACGAAAGGCTCGGCATGCTGCGGCTCAGCGTCTACGCAGACAAGCAACACCAGAGCTTTGCCCTAATCAACATCATTCACCACGTGGAGGTGCGGTTGTTTTTTTCTGTAGGAACGATGCCAAAGTGATGGGCGCCTGTGCGTTTGCACACCTTGAGCTCCGATGAAAGTTCGCACGCGCACTGTTCACTTCTAGATTGCTACAGAAAGCTGCCCCGAGTAAAGACATTTTGTCAATCTTTAGAGGAGACACAAGAGACATGCAATCTACGAGTAACTGCCCTTTGCATTAACCCCCTTACAACAAATTTATAATTTTTTTAATGGGCTAATGTTGCTGAAATGTCAGATTGTCGAGATAGACTCAGCTCAACAGTCTGGGGTGCGATGGCGGAGTGGGTCATAACATGGTAGATCATCAGCACACAAGCCGTCGCTCGCTCTGAAAAATCAATTCTTGGGTTCTTACCTTTTTCTATATAAACAATTGTACTGTTATAATCATTAGCGCGTGACGCATGTTTAAGACCTCACGTTTAAGACCTTGCGTCTGTGTCCAGAGACTCTGAGTTCTTTCAGGTTACACCTAAATCCGACTCAATATGATTGTCATTTTCTTTTTCTACCACCTTACAGGAAATGAAGAATGCATACCTGAAAAACGCCGACATGAACGTCTTCATCGTTGACTGGAGCGGTGGCAACGGCCCGGGCTACGAGACCGCCGTGGTAAACGCCAGAATTGCGGGTGCCGAGATCGCGTTCTTGGTCCGCAAATTGGAGGTACGTACGCTTTCACGAACAGTCAGTTTAAGAACGCCATGACGTCTGGTTCGAGCGATTGCCACCTCATCAAATAAGAGCATTTAGGAACCAATCATGCGATAAACAATGTGTCCCGCACGCCTATGTGGAGAGCAATTCGTCTGCTTCTTGCACAGGAGTTGCGGTGACGTCAGAACGACGCCGAGCTCTGATTGGCTTTGACTGGAAGGATAGAGGGTAGACCTCTATGCTAAATTCTTTGAGATCTACCCACTATTTGTTTATTTTTTTTCAATCAGCCAATAAGAGCTCGGCGTTCTCACATGATCGCAAACCCTGTGCAAGAAGCAGATGAGCTTGCGCTTTTCAATGGTCTTACAGTGTCAGCGACCACACTTTACATTATCTATTTGGTCGCTGACATCTTAAGAAAGGCACGGCGATACCTATTTCGAGAGAAAGTCATTAAATACTGCACAAAAGGCTATTAAAGAAAAAAGGTGTGAGATACCAAATTGAAAGCCTTTTTTATTTCTCGACCTATATCCTTCCCCAACATCGAAACATTTTCCCCATACCTTTACCAGTGCTCCAGCACCTGCTGCGTAAAATTCTTTGGGCTGCTGTCTCGGCCACGTGCGTACCCGTCGCACTGTTGCTTCTGTCGCAATCTCAACACGACGACCATGGTCGCTCCTCGTCAACGACATTTGAGCGCCCCTGGGAGAAATTTATCAACCCAGTTGAGCACCGCCTTACGCGATGAAAACTCATCACCGTAAACAGGAAACATTTCCCTGTGAATATCTTTTGCAGCATGCAGTATCGTCCACAAAAAGCTCACAGCAGAACGCTGCTTTTCTAGCGTACATTCCTCGAGAACAGACGCTATTTTTTTTTTTAAACTGAGCTGCGCATGCGTGCGACTGTTACTTTGCGCGGTCAATACCATAAAGCTGGATTGTGTTACCTCCAATGTGTAAACAAGTCGCTACCTATATCGGATATTTTATAACACTTTGTTACTAGCTTTCCCTCCATCGCATGTTCATGTGTCTTGCTTCGTGATTGGTACTTCGGCGCTGAAGCGCGCTCACGTGGCAAAGGCTAAGGGAAAGGACAAGGAGACATCTACAGAAGCTGTCCTTATTCTCCAAGTCTCAGATAAACAGTTCCGATCTGATTTTAGAAACAGCTCCTTCTTTCAACAGATTTTTTTTGTCTGCATTTTTTTAACGTTACACTTTTTTGTTGTTTTGAAGTGTTGACGTTGAGCATACTCAAGGAGGAGATTGACCCAGGGTCGGTGTGCTAATAAAGGTGGAGGTCATAAAAATATACTGGAGTATCTTCATACACTGTTTTATACTTCATTTTTTATTTATTTTTATTTTTACATTTTAGGTAGCCTTTGGGGCGAACGCCTCGACCATGCACATAATCGGACACAGCCTCGGAGCGCACGTTGCCGGTTATGCTGGACTCAACATCACCAGACTGGGAAGGATCACTGGTGAGTGAGGGCGGTTGACAAAAGCTCGAAAATGCCGAAAGACAAAAACTTAGAGGACGCTTAAGCTTCGCCTTTAACGCTTTCGCGTTAAAACAAGCTACTGACGCGGTAGGTCGTCATCGACAATATGGCAGGGAGCTCGCTCAGTCTAGCCTCGAGGGAAAGCCCTATTCTTTTTCGATGACACTTCGGCCATTCGTCGCCTTCGAGCGTGCACACGCGGCCAAAGCACGACGGACGTTCTGTACTCATATGACTACAATGGCGACGATGATGAGGACAATACCATGGTGCTGGTGATTATGACAATTGCCATGCCATACAGCGTGAGTGTAGTCTACACGCTGCTCCATTTGCAGACTGTAGCGCTGTCAAAGCTGCTGGCACGAGCGCCAATGGCTTGAACTGGGGTTTCAATAGCAATTGCTTTAGTGCGAATGAGACGCTCTGGCGCTAGTTGCGTAACAGCGCTGTACGATTTAGTAACTGACTGGATGAAAACGGCAGGACGTGTCCTTCATATCCCTGGCCTCTAGCACGTACGCGATGCCACCCGTTATAATGTTCTTGCTCCTCTCGACGACGCTTGATCCTTCTGGTGCGTCCCACCCGCTGGCCTCCCCTAGCGCTAGCTGTCCGAACCAGATCCCAAATTTTCAGTACGAACCGTCCTCTTATTCAAAAGTTATAAGTGATTCCCTGTAATTTATAACGCGAGAATGGGGCTCATTTTCGACCGTTTTCGGTAACTGGCGCTACAGAGCGCCCCACGTATTCGAGATCTCTGTCGGCCACCATTTTCTTATTCAAAACTTCAGAAAATTACAAATAACTTCTAAATAAAATAATGGTTAATTCTGAAACAATGGCATCTGGTTCTAATTGACGCGCACAGTAGCAATGGTCTTCGACATGACCGCCAATGTGAAGTCAGTGCAAGCCTTGTGTAGGTTTGAAACGAGGTGCGTGTACACAAGCACCGAGCAATGGATTTCATTATTCGTCGGGTTGTTCGTGACGCGCATTCCGATGGTGCAGTGCCACTATAAGACCGACTCTCTCGTTCGGCTTTCCCCCGTAGCTCTTGACCCCGCCGAGCCGTTCTTCGAGGGAATGCCTCCGGAGGTCAGGGTGGACCGTTCTGACGCCGACTTCGTGGACGTCATTCACACCGACTCCCACCCGTACTTGTCCAAGCTCGGTAAGCTCTCCAAGATTGCATTAAAAAAATGGTGCATACTTTATTTTATTATTATGACGCTTCATTCATAGATGTGATCAAGGTTTTCACCATTACTCGTTGTCACGACAAGACAGAGAGAGAGAAAAAAATAAAGATTAAGATTTGTTAGTCGAGGGAAGAAACGATGCCTTTGGCTTTTGAAACGTAGCATGCGTCTTGATAAAATGACATTAAGTCATTCTACGATATAGCTTAATATCCTTATACATTACATCAAGGGGAAAATTAGTAATGTCAAACAAAAAACCTGACTTTTTTTACGATTTTTGAAGTGAACACAAGTATGCAGAGCGCACGTTCGTGTGCTTCTTGCGCAGGGGGTATGTGGTGACATCAGATGGCCGAGCTCTGATTGGCTACGACGGGAGGACAGTGGGTCAGTGCAAGCTGCCTTGAGGTCTACCCACTATCCTTCCAAACGGAGCCAATCAGAGCTCGGCATTCTGAAGTCACCGCGACCCCCGCCCAAGAAGCAGACGAACTCGCTCCGCACAGAAGCTGAACAAGCGTGTCGTAAATTCGACTGTTCTGCGCATGCGCGTAAATTAGATACGAGCCGGCTTTGCCTGGTGAAATTGTGGAAAAGTCTGGCAACTCTGTTTAAGAAGTCGATCTTCTTCGAATTGTGGCCAAAAGTTGGAACCTCGTGGTTCAAACAAAAAGTTGGCCACTGTCCCATTGTTTCAACCGGTGTCTTAACGCGTATTCCCCGTTCATTGTTTTTTGTTATTTTATTTCTGGTGCAGGGGTCAGCGAGGGCATGGGAATGGAGGAAGCCGTCGGCCATGTGGACTTTTACCCGAACGGAGGCCAGATTATGCCGGGTTGCGATCTCCCCAACCGATGGCTGAGCCTGATCAAAGGGGGCTTTATCAAGGGTAAGATACTATAGCTTTGACTTCGAAGCTTCTCTTTTACTCACTCTTAAGGCTGGTACATGCATTTGCGTCGACCGCGTTCCTCTGCGTCGCATCGTACAGCGCAGGGCCTCCCCATTGGCTCGTCGTAAGTGTCGCCATAGCAACACTCGACGCAACTGCGTGAACGAGTCTTCAGACCCAAGACAAAGAAACTATTTTCTTGCGGTGTAATTTCAAGGATAAAAGCGAGCGTTTTCTTTCAGTCTCTCCTTCGAAAAACTTGATAAATGACGTAGCTGGGGGCTCGCAGTGTCGGCATGCGGCTCGTAGATTGGACCCGAGCATTGCGTGATCACTTGATATGGGCTCGTGATAATCAACTGCTCGACAGGCATTCGGGTTCTGGGATCGTGTCCAATCGCTGTAGTGACGACAATAGACGAACCGTCATGATGTTTAGAACTCAGCGCGTGTCCTGTGCTTTGCCAACCTCAGCGCGCGGCTATGACCAACATTGGCGGAATATATTATAATCGGCTTCAGATCACGTGACCACTTGTTCCGAGTCCCGCCAGCGAGTTGAGGGGGTGAACGCTGCTCAAAACGAACGCGTGTTTCATTGGTCATAAACGTCAGGGATTCGTTCTAAACAATAATTGCGTAGAGTAAAAAAAAAATGGTGGCACCGTTTTCTTTAGAGAGACTAAAGTTGGATCTATACTCCATTTCATTCTGTTTAACAGTTTAGTTTACACCACGTGGTTTACACACTTGATTGCGCCGCAATCGCTCGTGGACAAACGCGAGTGTGTGAACCAGCCTTCAAGTCCGGCCTAGGCCGACGCTACGTGACGGCATGGTGCTATGTGACGCCGTAGTGTCACGCGACGTGACGCGAAAATTTCTCCCGCTAGATTTAGAAGGAAAGTATAAGCGCTGTTTTCCGATATCAAGTGCTGCTTGTTTGAAGCATGTTTATCTTTCTAAATTACACATAAAGCCAATCTAGAGTGCACCTGCATATATCTTACTTTGACAGGATGTTTCTACGTCACACATCGTACAATGACTGTCCGGGTCATATTTACGATATTTCTGTAAGAAATATATGTGAAAGCCATGTTCTTGGGAGGAACATTCATCTATATGTAAACTCCGTAGCTATTTTTTTTTTACCAGAGATAAAACTGAAAAGCTCGTGGACATTGCCGAGATTTCACTGTGATTTGCACATCCGCCAATGTCACACCAAAGAAGGCACGTAGTTCAAAAATGTATAATTTATTTTGTAGACAATTTGCAACATGCACACTAAATATTAAAAATTACAATTAGATATTTCTATGAAAAAAAAAATAGAATGACGAAAAACGAAAATAAACTCGTTTTGGAGACACTTTCACAAATTATTCACCAACAAACAACTTTATGCAAAACGTCGAAAATAAATAAAAATATACGTATTGAAATGCAGCTTGCGAACAAAATGTTTGCTTAGCCATCACTGTAGTTCTGTTATTAATGCAGAAAGGTAAGTTAGTTCTCTAAAAGAAGCGAAATTGCACGTCAATATTTAATTTTTTTAGCGTTTCTTATGATACGTTATAATCTAACACTCTGAGATTAGGAAATTGGGCGGTTCTTCTAGTCTTGACGGAGGTTATCTTTGCGGGCGCTTGGCGGCGGATGCTCATTGTAGGAAGCGTGTCTATTCTGTTGTATGGATTTCGCCTGTCAAGCCCGTCTGATCAAATCTTCGCGACGTCATATTCTGTTTTCTTGACCTTTCCTTGTTTTGGTGTGGTCGAATAAACTCAGCTGTTCTTAAAATTTTGTATTGTGTTGTCCGTTTTTTTTTTTTAATTTTTATTCTTTCTAGTTTTATGGTACGAAGTTATGACGCCTTTTCACGCTCTGCAATAGCGCAGCACCGTTGTACAGACTTTGCTGGTTCTAGAGAATATCTCCTTTGAGGTGACATCGTGCGGCAAAGCCCCTAAACGTTAACCTAGCTTAAATTGAGTGAAGGTTTGTTAATTGGGGCTTTTCTCAATTGGAGGTCATATGCTACTCAACATTTTGCCATCACAAGTTAGTTCAAGTTACTGCAAGGTATTAAGGTCAGTTTAAAAAAGATTAAAAAAATAGAGTTTTTTATTACTTTTTTTATTTTACAGCGGCGCTGTTAAGGGCTAGTTTCCCCAGGATCGTGTCCGGTACCAAACATATATCGACAGCCGTGGTCGACACAACACTCTGGTTGCCGCCGTCGCTCATAGATGGCGGTAGCTGTCCAGAGTGTTGTGTTTGCCGGTTGTCTGCTTTTCGCTCATAGATCGCAGCAACCTTTCCAGCCTAGGAAACCCGTCAACTGGTTGCTGCCGTCGCTCTTAGATGGCGGCAACATTTCCTCGGAGGAAGAAGAGCGGGAACGGGAGGAGCGGCGATGTGGCGCAGCAGCGCGAATGGTTCCGCAACCGCCGCGAGGCCGCTATCGCCTGAAGTTCCACTGCGTCGAGCGCTTCCGATTCCCTTGCGAAAAAAGAGGAGATCGCTCGCCTGGAGAGCCACTGCCGAGAACAGAAGCTACAGCTCCGCTACTCTTCCTTCTTCAACAGAATGGGAAGGCTGAAAGTTTTTTTTCTTTTTAATATAGACCTGCAATTTTTCTGCTTTTACAGAAATGCCTTAACGAATTAATAACAAAACTACAATAGTGGCTAAGCAAATATTTTTATATATTCGTAAGCTGCATTTCAAGGCGCACATTTTTATATAGTTTTCAACGTTTAGCATAAAGTTTTTTTTAATAATTTGGGAAAGTGTCGCTAAAGCGTATTTTTCTTTACGTTTTTCGCATTTCTTTTATTTTTTGCAGAGAAATATATTACTGTAATTTTTGTTATATTTGGCGTGCATGTTGTAAATTGTCTACAAAATAAATTAAACGTGTTTTAGCTACATACCTTCTTTGGTGGGACATTGGCGGTTGTGCAAATTACCGCAGCGAAATCTCGGCAATGTCCACGACTCGAGCTTCTCAATTTTATATCTCTGGAAAAAAAGAATTAGCTACGGCGTTCACGTATAAATGAATGTTCCTCCCAAGAACATGGCTTTCACATATATTTCTTAGAAGAAAATATTACCGGGACAGTCATTATACGATCTGACGTGGAAACACCCAATATATAGGCGATTTTTGGTGCAAGAGTCGTCGTCCGACTTCCACCCTCGTCTGTTTGCTGCAGGCCTCCGAGAAATCTTGGGCTGCCACCACCAGAGGGCCGTCCATTACATGCTCGACTCCATCGAGAACCAAAACTGCGTGCCGCTATCCTTCGAGTGCCCCTCCTACGAAGCCTTCAAGAAGGGTCAGTGCAGGGACTGTGGCGAAGACGGCTCGGCTTGCGCACCCATGGGCGAACAGGCCGACGTCTGGAGGCCGCACAAGCAGGACCGGGAACGGCGAATGTATGGCGTCACCAATGCTCACAAGCCGTTCTGCGGTAGGTGTCACGTTGTGTGCGTGCGTTCCTGTACCTGCGATGATCTAGGTGTATTTAGGTCGAAAAAAGAAAGGTCACCGTGCTGTAGAAGTACTTGTTGTTAGGCTAGGGCAGGGGTGGCCAAGCTGTGGCTCGCGAGTCTCATGCGGCTCTTCGCGTGTTAAACTGCGGCTCGCATCCTTTGACGACTGCTTTCGCAAGAGCTCCGGCACTATACTCCGTTTCACCTTATGTTGTACTGCAGCGAAGGCTAGAAGCGCGAGCTCGTAGCGTTGGCAGCAGCCCTCAGTGCACGAGAGCTTGTGCCGCCGGGACGTTCCCTAGAGCAAGGAGCTCGCGCTTGTAGCCTTTTCTGTGGTACATCATAAGGGGAAATAGAGTATAACCATAAACGTCACTTCGTTTACTGTTAGCATTTTTACGTTACACTGTCTCCCCGCGCTCTATTGAAGAAGATTAAGTGGATATGCCGCACAAGGCCTGTGTGCACGTCCACAAGCTTTGTGTTGGGTAAATACCGAGGTGCGGGGACAACGAAGAGGGGTCAGCCGATAGCGACTTGCCCCTTACTGAAGGCCCACGCATCTCGTGGCTTCCCCCCTTCCCTTTACCCCAGAAATAAACAAACAACTTTCTAGCGAATCAAATATTCGTAACGCCTGGCGGTCGACGAATGAAACCGTCAAATTATGTTCAAAAACACGCCATGAAAAATGCCAATACCCATGTGTTACATCGGTTTTAATTTGGCCGGGTTTGATATAAGGAACTCGATCACGTGATATCCGGTTTCAAGCCTCGATTTATTTGATTTTTTTTTTAATCCTTAGCTTATCAATACCTGGTGACCATCCGTACTGGAGACCAGGTGAAGCGTGCGAACGCCGAGGGAATCATCTCTTTAACCACGAAGCAAGGCGGCAAGAGCGTCACCTTCAAAGTCAACAAAAGGTAACTAGATTCATTTCCTTCCACTCAAATCATTTCCGCTTCCCACCTCGTAACCGGATTCATCGTGACCCGTCGTGTCTCTTATAGCTTCGGCTTACAGTACTTACGTTGCGTCGAGTGTAGCTGATCTGAGTTCACTGAAATGCAACGCAGTTACTCTGCAATATTTTTAAGCACACTAGCCTGTGCAAAATAAATATACGTGTGTCGCAAAGTCGGAAGATGTGCTGTCCAGTGATTTCCCTACACACCCCCCAAGGGGGTGTACCCCCCCCCCCCCCCTTGTTTTTCGGATGGCATTCCCTTAATTCGCAACGACTCCTCTATTCTCAATTTCGCCCCCCCCCCCCTAAAAATTTAGATTCCTCCCCCCCCCCCCCTAATTTAAATTCCTGGAGAAACCCCTGGTGCTATCGGTGTCTGTCTTTTATGTGCAACTCTTTCGTAAAAAGTGTAGTGGTGAACTCTGTAAAATAATAGTGTAAATATGTTGCGTGGATGTCTAGACAGTGGGAGGTTAGCCAGTCCTATTGGACGCCTATACGGTCTCCGCTGTTGTTAAAAAAGTTAACCAGTGGAATGCTGCTAACCTGGTGTCTCTAAGGCGAAATTTCGATAGTCACTGATTTGTCTCGAAGCAGCTTCAACACATTAATAGGCACATCCTAACTAGTAACTCAAATTACAGGTCACAATACTTTTTTTCTTGCGAATTTATTGAGTTTTAAAATTGAGGCCGAGAGGCTCTAGTGACAACACTGAAAATGTGACGCCAATTGTGGTAACATATGGCAATGTGGACGCACTACAGTTTGCTCCCTACGGGTTACAAGACGTTTGACGGTTTCTAATGAAAACCTGCTGAGCTCACGCCTCAAAATTGAAGTAAAAAAGCGTAATTATACTGGTATTTTTTTAGACTGCATACTTGCAAGTTATGCAACATGTGACGTCACCCCACTGAAGAGAGCGGGAAACTTTTCGAATCTTGGTTGTGGCGTAACCTCCAATTGCCATTTTATCTATAACACTTTTGAATCCAGATCAAGAAATAGCATGCCGGAAAGAGTAAAACCTGGATGTTCCAAAAATCTGTTTTAAATAGCTAAAACAAACGTGCATCACGCAGTGATTATAATGCAATTAAATGCAAAGGTGCAAGCAGTAGTTGTTTATGCGACTGCACGCCGGTACGACGCTGATCCGCATCGAAACGGACAAGGGTAGGGATCAAAGCGAACCCTGTGAGATATACAGGGAGGGTAACGAGATTTCGTTTTCCACGATGCAGGCTCATGGAATTCCGGCCGAACAGCACCTACACTTTCCTGACGACGTCACCGGCGATGATCAGCGACTACACCAAGCTCACGTTGCGCTTCAAGAGCACCTTGATCTTCACGACCGCCAACCTACCCCTTCTCGATGTTCAGATCCAACCCCTGACGGCAAATGTACCGAAGAGGTAACAGTACACTTCTCGCTACGCATTTTTAAGCCCACTGTGTTTTCGTTGCGATTTGCTTTATGCATACGGGACGCAAGTTCGTCTGCTTCTTTGGCAGAGGTTGTGATGACGTCAGAACGCCGAGTTCTTATTGGAAGGATAGTGGGTGGACCTCAATGCTACCTGCCTTGAGGTCTACACACTGTCCTTCCAATGACAGCCAATCAGAGTTCCGCGTTCTGACGTCACCGCAACCCGTGAACAAGAAGCAGACGAACTTGTGCTCCGCATACTCCGTGTCGCTACGATCCGATGGAACCAACCAAACTGCGCCGAAATTGCTTCGTCATGGCGCTCATCGCCTTAGAAAGGAGGAATCTTACTTTTTTTATTCTTATTTCTAGGCTAGGTGGCGCAAGCTACCGCCACTTATAAAGGGTACAGCCGTTAGAATGCATCCATCCACCCGTCAACTATCACCGGCTAGACTACTCACACACATTGAATGCCCCATAATCCTGGGCTTTATTTTTTATGCGTGATTGGTCTAGTCGCTGATAGCAAACGTACAATGACGGCGTGCGCATGACGGTGAAATGGAGGTGATGAATCGAGTGATGTTTATGTGGCGCCCCTTAATGGCCCCTATCCGCGATGTGAGGACCAGAAGCCGTAATCTGGACACGTTGCGAAAAAGTCGGCGAGAAATCTGGCGGCCGTGATTGGTCAACGCCGCACTTGACCTTGCAGGCGGCCAATCATAGCCGCTGAATCTCTCATTGACTTTTTCGCCAAGTGTCCAAGATTTGCCTGGCAGTGACGTCGCGAGTTGCGATCCTGGCTACTTATCGTCCGTTGTCGACAACAAGTTTGACGATGTGTGCGAAAGGAACGGTGGAAGCTTGGAGTCATCCCGTTCTTACACCAGCCTGTTGGAGCTGTCATTGCTCTTATGTCCGTAGATGAAACCAAAATTAGTCCCTTTTAAGACGTCATGGTGAGTGTTTGACCAATCGTCCGGAGCCGACCACCTACAGCGACACGCCTATAGTCGCGCGTCTATAGTTGCTTGTCGCCTAGGGTGTACTCATTGGCTGCCACGTCTGAGTCCATGGATGCTGAGCACGAGCTGACAACGAGTTTCCACGGCGTTTTTAGAACCTGCATTCCACACCACTAAGATTGCCGGTTCTTGCAAGCACGCGCGGTGAACAGCGCGCTCAAATATGACGACGTCGTGCATTTTATGCTCCCCTTTCCGCCGTCTCACATTTTGACCGCCAGGTCTTGCCAGTTTTCGCTGCGCACTAGGGTGCCTACATGCCTGTCTGTCTGAGGGTGAAGACATCCATTGTTGCCCTGAATGTGCCAGGGTACTCGGTACAGGGTACTCGCGCACTCGGTACGTGACTTGGGCGGTAAAATGGCGTCTATGCATTAGCCAAAGCTACGCGCTTGAGCTGAGTGAGACCAGATTGCGCGCGCTTCATAATGCACAAAAGAACCAATTGGGCGGAAAAATGACTGAGATGTCACCACCCAAGCAAAAGCGGGCGTGTGTATGAAAGCACTCTACTGCGCACTTGGATGGGATTGGATCCTTGCTCAGATTTGCCTTGCGTGGCTGAACCCCTCAGTCGTTCTCGCGGATGATCATCCGGAAACTCAACACGACTTGTTGCGATTCTCCACTTTCCAGCATGGCCAAGGCGGTGACTCGCCGGTTCTGTCCGCCCTGGGATCCCCAGGGAATCAGTTCTTTCGCGACCGTGACTCTGAAGAAATGCTGAAGCGGTCTGGAAGAATTGAGAGGCACCGCAGCCGACAACACAAGGAACACGACGGACCCGGAGTAGGAGGGTCCAGGCACGGCTGGCAAGCTTTCACCTGAAGCTACGACGCTAAACATCAATTCACCTGTTTAATAAACATCGGTCATCGCATTGTCAATATTATAAGTGTAGCAGTGTCGTGGTTTGCGATCTTTCTTTTTTTCACTTTTTCTTTTCTACAAACACAGCGCGACACTGTTAGAGCAAACACGACATGGGCGCTTTTTTTGTTTATTTACTCCGAAAGGGTGTAAGCAGGCATTAAATTTTAGCGCTTCAGCTGGAAGATTTCACCAAGCAAGTATTAGCCCCGAGTAGGGAGGCTCAAGTGAGGGTGGGTGCAACTGCTAGATCGGGGATCACGGGACATGGACGCCATTTAATTGCTAAATTTTGCTGGGAGTCTATGGGGCAAAGGGTCGTTTTATTTCCTAACTCAGGTCATAAGAGCCCATTAAGGTGCTTCAATAATTTACACAAGGTATAAATGATTACTTTTCCATAGCCACCAGTTTTGTTGCGATAGGTTAAGTATTTTTTTAACGCGAAAAATGGTAAATTCCGCCATCTTGGACGTTGCTGCTTGTCTGGCAACCCTGCTTTCTCCTCTCGACGTTTGCAATTCCTGGAGCGAGGAGGAAGCGAGAGAGGCTGCGCCGAGGCGTTCGTTGCTCGCAACGGGAGGCGAGAGGAGGAAAGGCGCATGGAGCAACAGGGTTGCAACAGAGCGGGCGTCTGCTCTCGTGCAGGCAACATTGGGCATTTCCTTTCCCGAATCCTCTCCCTCAGGCGCCGCCATTAAATTGCAAACGCCCACCAGGTTTTGAGTTGCACCCACCCTCACTTGAGCCTCCCTAGCCCCGAGAAGTTTGCGTGGCGCCCCCTTACGGCGAACCGGAGTGACGTCACGGCGAGGACAGAATGTTTGCCCGACTCACTCCGCTCGCTTTGTGGGGGCTGTGACGACGTTAGCTTTCGGCGCGCTCGTTTCTATTAATTTCGTTTTTGCGCGTTTTTCGGTATAGAAGTGTAACCAACTTCAGTTATGCTTGACAGGGCAGGCAACGCATGAATCGCAGCTGGCATATAAAAATGAAGAAATATGGCCACCATTGCAGAAGCATCACTGTAGACTTGCATCTCACACAATCAATGCTACTGGTGGTCTGAATGAATTGGTACGTTATGTATACAATTTCGCGTTTGTTGCATCTTTGTTTTTAAACAAAAACCGCTAAAGCAGAAAAGCTGCATGCTGCTCGTGCAACATGCTAACTGTAGTCTGGGCCATGGAGAGAGAATCACATGTGAGACAGCCCAAATACAGGGATAAAGTAAGGAAAGAGCGAACACAGGCATATGCAGTTATTTGTTTATATCTGTTTGTAGTGCTCGCATCCGGCCTTTGCTGGATTCGGGTAGTATATCAAACTCGACTGGTGCTGTCTGAACTTCTTTGTAATATCACTCAAGTACTGTACAACAAACGTAGGTGCAGGTGTCTAGCCCGTTATTAGTTCCTTGGGCTCTAAAATTGAGATTTTAGGTAAATAAAATTGTCCTGAAGCAAAAATACCAGAAGCTTTAATCAAGCGAACTGTCACCCTTCACAGGCTCCACATGTTCTGCTAATAATAATAATAATAATTTTTATTTTCACAAGAAAGTTTGCCCACTCAGCGGCGTGCAAGGCTAGACAGAAAGGTTAGCATCCTTACGCGTATGCGCCTGCTAGCCCGCCGCTGAGTAGGTGTAAACATAAACAAACAGTAGTCGTAAGTACAAGAAAAGAATAACACGTATACACTGGACAGTCGTTCGAATGCTCGCTGTTCCTCCTGCTTTGCTCTGTTTTCAGAGAGTCCAGCTGTAGGGAGTTATAGAAGCTGGAAGCTTTAGGGTACCTGCAGCAGTGTCGCTTTTAATTGGAAATGACAATTCATACTAAACGGTGTTTTTTTTTTTTTTCTTTTTTTTTTAATGCACAAGGCTGGAATAAAGGAAGAATGCCAGGAGATACTATAAACACTCAAAAGTATGGTACTATTGCTTCGCATAATTTGGGCAATTCAATACATCTTATACAGGCAACTGGGGGCGATTCGGCCGTTTTTCCTGCTACCATACAAATTCATTTTCAGTAATTGTGCGTGCTCTACAAAATAAGACATGCCCTGCCACACGTGCACTTCAAAGGTCTTCAGACCGATCTGAGAACCAGCGCACGCAGAGTGGCACGCGGAGAGTCGGAATCGCGAGCTAATTTGCCGACCGCCCAAAGCCTTTGAAATAAATGCCATTTGAAAGGCCTGCAAAGTGGAATGTAATATTCTTTTAAATCATGAACACGCAAAGAATAGAATTCCAGCATCTGAAACACTTACGCCGCCGCTTCACCAACCCCTCGCACGATCGCCTTGTGCCGCGTGGATCGACAGGGAGGTTCATCGGCGGAATAGACTACTTCCATAAAGCCCTGCATGCAACACGGCGCGCGATGCACTCTGGGAACTAGTTGGCCAGGGAGGAGAGTGGCAAGGTTTCGGTTTCGATCGACACGTCGACAAAAGGTGACACACACAGCGTGGACTATTAACGGCCGTTATCTTATGCTTTCTGGTCCCGAGAGCGTCATTTGTGGTCTCTAAACTAACCTAAATGGCCAGACCTCGGAGCTTTAGCACAACCAATAAGTATGCATACATCGAGCTCGAGCGTTCCGTGCGTCCATAAACGAAATATAACTTTTTGCGATTACTGTTTTTCTTAATACGTCTGAGTACGCGAGGTAAAACTCGGAGGCGCCATTGAAAAGCTCCATTTGAACACACTTCTCACCTTTTACCTGTACTGCCCCGCAGCACTGCACGAAGTGAAGTTTCCACCCGCTTGCATTCCACTAATATTCAAAATCGCGTATGCGCATAAAGTTTTCCTGCAACCATATAGGCGCATTCGCACATACAGACCGTTTCAAGAAAGCAAAAGTCGAGCACTTGTGTGAAGAATGTCGCACCGTTCGCCGGACGGGCACGAACCCGCTTCCAGTGTGAATGAGCGGTTCCCGCTCATTCACACTGGAAGCGGATCCGCGTTCACAAAGCGGTTGCGGACGCGGTTGTATAAAGATCCAGTACAATTGCACGCGCACTTGATGTCATCGAGTGCGCGTGTAATTGTACTAGATCTTTATACAACCGCGTTCGTAACAGCTTTGCGAACGCGGATCCGCTTCCAGTGTAAATGAGCGGGAAGGGCGCCGGACGGGCACGAACCCCTTGCGGTACGCCAAACGAACGGAATTATTCAAAGCGCATTTGACGGTTGCTAATGGCTATATTTGTTATGTATTTTCTTTCTTCCTGACTGAGTATGCCGAGACAATTTCAGACACACCGTTCAGGCACAGATCTTGGGCGTCAGGAAATGCTCGTCCAAAAAGACTTACCGAGGAGTAGGGGACGCTTGTTAGGGCTCCGTCCTAGCAAGCCGAACTCAGTGTTTCCGAAAACTTCATCTTCTATCAGCATTAAATTTGAGTGTGAGATATGTGATAACACGAGGAAGACATCATAGCAACTTTTGTGCAGTAGTGAGGTTGGATTTATTGCGTTTCCTTATAAGTTCATGCGCCAACGCTGGGCTCAACTTTGATAAACCTGTGAAGATGCGGCTTGCTTTTCGCCCATTGAAGTAACAAGAAGCGGACGTTTGGAAAAAAAAATACATGTAGGGCTCAAGGTGACCGAATTTCAGTTGTAGTTCACTGGTACTAGACGGGATTACTGACATTGAGCTCAAAGATGCACTCGTGGGGTGAGGTGACAGGCCACGTCTTGCTACGTTTGCATACGCACGCACAATATCCGGTGTTTCAGGAACCAAGGAAAGTGCCCCGGTCTTCGTTTTGTATCGCTCGAAAGTGAGTGTATTGTACATTCGTAAAGGGTCAGATAACCGGAAACGCAATCAGCGCGTTCGGTCGCGGCGTGATAGCATTAGAACTTGGGTTTGGGCTAGTTGATCCATTACTGAATAAAAGGCTAAAAAGCGCTAACAAACGAGGACAATAAAGAAACACGGACGACAGGACAGGCGCTTCACTCTCAACTGGTTTTTGTTAACACCATTGTCACCTATATATACACATTGCCCAAACCACATCGGATTCAATCGCCACAATCAGGGCCAGCATGAGGTGAGCCGGCTCACTCGAAACCGAAACTGAGTGGCCAACTAGTTCCCAGAGTGCACTGCGTGGTATTTCGCCGCGATGGGGCGCGTCGGTTTTGGAAGAAGTCCATTGGCTCCGCCGATAGCTTTCAGGAGGGGCCCTGCAATGACTTTTTGACTGGTTTTTAACTTGCACTGACCCTGAGCGTACAGAACGTAGTAACTTAATCCAACTTTTCTTTTCTCAAATTTCGCTTTATTTTAAAAGTTATAGGCAAATTAGATTTACAAAAACAAGCAAAAAATAACCTCCTTCATCACGTTGTAGGTCCTGGCTTGAGTGGCCTTGAACTAGAGGAGGAGTAGTGAGCTGAGTGAGCTCATCGAGCGCACACGGCTGCCGCACTCCGTGTCGACGGCGCGAGAGGGCGCCACTAAAGCACGTGTTGGATACGCTGTATGAAGCGGGCGGCCAGGGCAGCTCGCATTCCATTTGCTGCGCGACTAATCACTAATTCGGCATAACACTTCATTGGCCACAAACGACAGCAAACACGGGGTAAAGATCAATTCAGAACGGGAGCCACTTCGCGCTGACGCACCGCCAAATGGCCAAATCGCCAGCAGGGCCCGCGCCGAAGGCCTTCGGAACGCTCGGAACCGGTCGGATTCTTGACCACAGCGCCGCCGCGTACATCCGGGACCTTTCTACGCTCCTCGTTCGACGTAGCCTCATCCCACTAGCCTTTTCTAGTATGCGCCGTTTTTCTCCGCCGCTTGGTGGCGGGTATGTCGACGGGTCATTTCTCGTTTCCGTACTTCCTAAACTGCATTTGTTTCTTTTCTGATCTAAAATAGTGAACAAAAACTACTTTCATACATAATTGAAACGGTTCGCGACACTTTTATTTTGTATCTCGACTAAAAAAAAGCTCTTAGCGGCTTTGACC